CTCGGTGCAAATTTTTTTTACTATCATGCAGAGCTTCACCTCCCCTCCCAGGGAATGGATCTCTAACCTCATGTCGAACCTGGGAACTTTTTGGCTACCTGAAGAGGTTTATTTGTGATAGGAGCAAAATGGCCACCTTGCTCAAGTGCAGAGATGTTGAATAACTCAGGGTTGAACCTCTTGCGGGCTTGTGCCTGAGACTTCATGGACACGGTGTCCTCAAATGAGCACACAAGAGCAGCTGAATATCTTAGCTGTGGGATTTTTTGAGGAACTGCACAAATTACCACATCAGAGTTCTCATAAGTCTATAAAACCTGAGCAGATAGGAAAAGCATATCAGAAAGCATAACAAATCGTGAGGAGGAGAGAAAGCTGGTTATTGCCCTACAGTCCTTTATGGTCCATAATCTGACAAGGCTTTAGGTTAAGCACAAGAAATTTGTCATGAAAAATAAAGACACATGTTTGGAAGATGGAAATTCAAGCGACATGAACACTTTCGGTATTTCAGACAAGATTGGGTTTGCCTCAGCTGCTACTACAACCTTCCAAATAAGTGGTAAGGTTTCTTTTTATTAAATTATTAATATGGATTTTATCTCGTCTGTGAAAGAAGCAATGCCTAAAACCAAAATATTGTCTTTATATAATCCATTTTAAATGGTTTTTACAGTGGTTTTGCTACTAAATTAACTGACCATTGTAAAAGAGAAGTATGAGAAAGTGTTCTTTCTAGCCCAAAGCTGATGCTGAGCATCAGAAAAAAAAGTAGTTCTTTTCCTGTTTTAGAAAATGCTTAATTTTGCTCAGTAAAACTTTCATGTCTTAATAGTTAAGATACTGAAATTACCAGATCCAATTAAAAATGTAAGTTTATGAATTTTTAGCTGAATATAAATACTTCATTGCTGACTGAACCATTCTATTGTAAAACTAATTAAATCATTGTACTCTTTTAAAGCTAAGGCATTGAACTCCTGATTACATTACTTTGAAAAAAGACTCAATTAAGGGTAACTTACTGAATATCTGAAGTAGCTATTAACACTTCTGAAATACTTTTTCTCTACCTAAAGGCCAAAATTGGACAAAGCAATTTCTTTCTTTTGCACGTGCTGGTGACAATGTGTTTTAAACATTACAGCTTGTTTTCATTTGTTCTGCAGTTCAGTTTATTATTGATTTACCATTTGTTTGGATGTGTATACACCTCACTGTTGGGAATCTCATGGATGGGGCACCCTGGATGGAGAGGGCATGTGCTTTGAGCAACCCGCATTCCATGGCAGCCTGGGATAATTGAAAGGGATGGACAGAGGGAGATCAGTGGTGCAGAAAGGGGACACCTACCACGCTCATACTGATATAGGCTGGATTAAGTCTTGATGGAAGTGAGCTGGTTAAATTGGCTGAGGAAGAGACAACCAAGTGAGTTGCAGTGCAGAGCCCGGTGCTGGCAGCACCTGCCTCTCTCTCAGGGGGATCTTGCTGCTCGTTTATTGTGGCCAAGCCTGAAATGGTTGGAAGTGAGCAGAGTTTGTAGTGAGAGAGATGGGAGGGGGGTGTCTACCCAACTTCTGTTGGTTTCTAGAGCCTCGAGGCCGAAGAAAGCCATCAGCATGCTGTGCTCGCGCAACCCTCACCACCTACCTGCTGCTGCTGACGGCCAGCCAGGGGCTGCTGGCATATCAAGGTACCCCTGCAACCTTCCTCTGGGCTGGGTATCAAAAGGCAGCCTTGCTGGGTGCTCCCGGGATGAGAGGGGATGAGCGCGCACACATGAAACCTCTGAGGCTCCTCTGCATGCCCCAAGTCAAACCATTCCCCCAGCCCATGTCTCTGCTTTGCACCTGCAAAAGCCCTGCCTGGCTGCAGCAGGGGCAGGCACATGAAAACCAGCTCTCCGGGTCAAACCGTGATGGTGCTTTAACCCAGGTGTCCCCCATGGGTGCTGAGTTGCTGCTCTGCCCAACAGGCATTTTCCACCTGGATTGGGCAGGGAATATTCAGTGTGTGGGCCTTTTGTTTCCTCAGTGTTTAAGATGAAGAGAGAGATACTGAAATTTCAAGAGCAACATGCCCCTAATACAGAAGAGATTCTGAAAAGTTCCTTTGCCAACAAGCTGGCTTTGGGGAGAAACTCTACAGAGATACATTTGGGACACGAAGAAAACTGGAGGAGAAGCTTAGAAGAGGAAATCACCATAATTAAAAGCAGCAATGCAAACCTGATGATGATGATGAACAACATCAGCCTGGTTGCAGGTATGGCTCCACTCCTCCATGCTGGGCGTACAGTGGGGAGAGCTGATTCTTCTGCACCACTGGCAAAGCTGGGCCAGAAACCTAGTTGAGATGAACAAATAACTGGGACAAGGACTTGGTCTTCCCATCTCTTAGTGACGCCACAGTGCCCAGGGTTGGAGACTGGCACCAGAGACCCTGGCTGGGGGGCTGAACACACTTGGAGAAGCTGGAGCCAGCCCTGTGCAGTGCCCGGGATCCCACTGCAGCTGCACGCACAGCTCCGGGCTGCTCTTCCCTCACTTAACTCACAGGCTTGGGCTCTGGGTGCCTCCTAAAGGGTGGTGTCTTTAGCCTAGACCTCCAGCCTATCAGCTTCATACTGGTATGTTCCTCACTGAATGCTGACTACTGAAAAATACCCATTAAACATTTTTTTTTTCAGGGCCTCCTGGACGCAAAGGAGATCCTGGTCCCCCAGGTATGTTGGTAAATAAGCCAAAAGCAACATTTCCTCCTTTTTTCTTTTTTTTCTTTTTCTTTTTTTTCCCCTAAGAGACCTGAAGGGAGGATTCAGGATTTCAGTGTCTAGACACAGATCTTACCCAATGTGCAGATATCCAGTGCCCTGGCCTTGATGAGACCTTCTGCACCTTCTGACTCATCTCCCAGGAGCCTGGGCTTGCCTGAGTGCTCCTAAAGCAAATGACCACCAGAGAAGGGCGTTTTAACTCTATTTTCTCACTGCTACCCCACCAGAAAAGCTCAGGGGTGATGGAGGAACTGTACCTGGTCATGATCTGCCATCATCATCCCAAATCTCCATGTGAGACAAGAGAGGAGCAGTAAAGGGGTTTATGTGCATCCCACTTTCTGCCCCAGACACAGCAAGTCCTGCTGCACAACTCACTCCAGGACAACTCAAGGAGACTTCCCCAATCCCAGCTCTACATGGCCCCAGCTGAACAGTGTGTGTAGCAAACAGTGACAGATTTGGGACCATGCCCACCCTGTTGCTGGGGAAATGACCATTCAGACTCAGGAACGAGCTGGGTGCAAGCACTTCCCTTCACAGGCAGGCACAACCTGCTGCCCTGGGTACTCAGCAGGTTTGGGTGGAAGTGCACCTGCTGCAGGAGGTGAATGTCTCCAGACTGCAAGGATGGGGCAAGTCCTGATCTAATGTTTGCTCCTCTGAGCAGAGGTTGGACTAGGTAATGTCCAGAGAAACCAGAGTTTCTGTGATCCCAGGATGGGGATGTAAGATACAAACCTTGCTAGGTCAGGTACTTCATCCATCCTTAGTTCTTGGCTCCACTGATGAGCTTTTCTGAGGAAAAGAATATTAATGTATTTTTTAAAAAGAATGTTTTCATCTCTTCCTGGCTGCACTTACAACACTGAAACAGCCCTTCCTGCCAAGCACCATTATTATACATCAGAGCCCAACAGTTCAGTGCATTTTCAGAGAAGATCTCCCCAAAGGTCTCCACAAGCTGGGCTTGGCTGAAGGACAGCTGGCCCCTGCCCAGCCACACACCCAGCCAAGATCCTTGGATTTCACTCAAGTGGTTGTGCTGGTCCTTGCCAGCTGAAGATTGGCCTCAGTGGTGACCAAAGGTGCATGCACAAAGGATGATTAAAAATTCATCTCTTCTTCTTAGTCATTACTGTGAATAGATGATGTGTGTCAGCTGATATATGTGTCTTACATCTTAGGGCTACAGGGGCCACGGGGGACAAAGGGAGACCAAGGAATCCAAGGTAAGGCTTTTCTGACACCTGAATTACTTCTGTGAATGAACATAAAGTGGCTTTATGGATTATTTTATGGGCAACCTTGTCCTCAGTCAAGGCGTAAGTCAGTAGGAATGTCATTGGAGTTCAAGGAAATAAGCCTGTGTAAAACTATAATGAACAAAAGCAAAACTTACCTGGAAAAATTCCTATTTTAAAAGTCAAGATGCACTGGTCACAGTGGGCCAGCTCCCTGCTGTCCCCAGCACCACTCTCAGGAACACGGAGGGAGAAGTTTGGCTCATGCCCATGGCTGAGCTGCGTGTCCTGCTGCTGGTCTGCACCAGACATAACACCTGATGAAGCATCAGAAACCTGGTGTTGTCCTTGCAGGCATACAGGGGCTACAGGGAGCAAAGGGCAGCAAAGGAGATCCTGGTCCTGCTGGCAGAAGTGGTGAACCAGGAGCCAGAGGAGAAAAAGGAGAGGTGGGGCTTGCAGGTAAGACTACTTCAGTATCTCAACAGTTTTAAGATTCTTCCATGTATTCCTGTTTAAACTCACTCTACCTGAAATACCAGAAGTCTTTATAGGTCAGATATTTCCTAAGAATCCAGGCAGCCCTGAGCACAGCTTGCCAGTCAATGGGGGAGCTGGATGAACAGGACCCTCTCCCTGATCTGAAGGGATTTCATTTCATGCCATACTCCAGCACAACCCCCAGAGGAGGGTGGGGGGAAGGGATGTGCAAAATGTTGACTTTGCAGCATGGAAGTCTCTTCATAGAGTGACCTTTATCTAATGAAAGCCACAGGTATTCAATTATCAGCCTATCCCAGATTGAGGCAGTGATGTTTGCAGTAGGATTTTAATGGTATAAAATAAAGAATATAATTTATATGCACAAGCACGTGGATGTTAATCCTCACTTTAGAAAAACCTATTTCTGAGAACTTTATATCTTATGTAAGCCTGGCTTTTATACACCTTAAGTAGAAGAATTATGCACCATGTTTCTCACACGTAATGTGCATTTGGGGGCATCTCCTGAAGAGCTGTTTAGCTGCTACTCAGTGGTCTCACGAGAGCTGCCTGCAGAGAGGAGAGGCTGGAAGCAGGATAGCAGAAGAAAGTAGAATGCAGACCAGGAAGGACAGTTAGACAGGTTGGAGAGATCTGATCTTCTTCAGATCTTCCATCAGATCCCACATGCTCCAATGCTCTCACTGGCACGAGTTGCTCCAGAAGAGAGAAGTGGAAGTAGGAGAAATACCAGAAGCTGAGCACTTAGGGGTAATTCTGGAGCAGAAAGAAAAAGGAGATGTCAGTATTTAAATGAGGCACTTTAAAATAATTCAGGTCTTTCAGATTATGCTGGTCACCTGTTCAGAGAAAAGAAGGCTAAGGGGAGATGTGGCAATTCCCTGGAAGCACAGGAGTGGGATACACTGTCCTCCAGATCCACTGTTGCTAGGAGAAGGGAAGGGTTCAGGCTGCAATAATGGATATTTAACTGGAGGGAAAAAAGAGCCATTCTAGTGGCAGAGATAGTTTGGTAGATAGACTGAGAGGTACTGTGGTGCCACTGCAAGTCTGAAACAGCAGGTCAGACACACATCTGGCCAGACAGTCTGGCAGAGCTGATGGTTGCTCAGGCAGACACCTGAGGTGCCATCCATCCCTGTCCTTCTACAGCTTCACAGGAATGCTATTGAATGGTAAATGTGTGTGTGAGGCCAAAATCTGCTGCTGGTGCAGCAACACGAGGTGCTCCACTGGCTGCAGAGACAATGGATCTGGTTGGGTTTTTTAAAATTTACTCACATGTGTTGTCCTGTTTGGTAGGTCCCCAAGGACAGAAAGGTGAAATGGGCAAGAAGGGAGACCCCGGGGCCCCTGGACTGATGGGTCCCCAAGGAGAGAGGGGATTGCCAGGAGTGATGGGTGTCCCTGGTAAGTTGACATGCATGCTGTGGTGGAGGGCTTATCCAGCTGAAGCATTTGGCTAAGTGACATTAGCACTGATGCTAGGATGTTGTTACAGGTGTTGTGGGGGTGCCTGGACCACCTGGGCAGAAAGGAGAGGCAGGTAAGCAGTACAGAAGGTGCAGTTTCTTCTAGAGATGTGAGACAAATCTCTTTTAGGTGATGCTTCAAAACAAGGAAAACTGCAGTTGAGGTAGATCCCAGCATGGGTAAGCAAGGTGATGATTAGGTGAAGAACACATGCCAACATTGTGCAAACCCATCCCATAGCCTCAGCTGTCTCATCTGGACCCCACTCACTGTGCAGGAGAACGAGGGGAAAGAAGGGTGCTGTACCATGGAGTGCCACGTCCTCCTTCCTGACACGTGGGCACACACAGGGGCAGAGCTGGGCTGCTTTTCTTGGGAAGTACTCGTGCCTCTCCAAGCTGACAGCCTGCCAGGACCCAGGCCCACACAGCCTCTCACCCGAGGCCACCAGTCACCTCTGAAACCTGCCAGGGGGGTGGAGATTCCGAGGGACCTAGTGTTTGTTCTGCCCCCCCAGGTCCTCCTCACCCTGCCCAGCGCAGGGGCCAGTGCATGAGCTGACTCTCCCTTTTCTCCTTCCTCTGCTGTGTTGTGTTTCTCATGTGCTGCTTCTGCTCAACCTCCAGGTGTCACCGGACCAGCTGGACCCAAGGGCAGTGCCGGCCTGGAGGGCAGACCTGGTCAGAAGGGGGAGAAGGGAGACCATGGACCCAGTGGTAGCCCAGGTACAACCCTGCTCAGACCTCCTGCTCCAGCCCTGCTGCGTGTGACAGCTTCACCCTGACTGGTTTGTTTCCTCATTTAGGAGCACCAGGCGCGGGGGGACTCAGAGGTGAAAAGGGAGACAAAGGAGAAAGAGGTAAAGGAGAATAAAACAGCTTTGGGGGCAACAACACACACCGTGGAGACACTGGAGAGGGATCTGCGACAGCAAGGGGGAGATTTGCTGAGCCCTGTTCCTGGAGCCCCAGTGCATCCCAGGATGGGCTTGGGGCTCTGCTGGGGATCCAGCTGCTCACTTGGAGGGGTTGGTTCAACCATCTGTAACGTGCATAAGGAGGCGGAGCTGCCTGCGTTTTTGTATAAATCAGAAAAGCATAAACAAAGCAGCAGTTTAAGATGAACCAAACATTCTTGCTACCCAGGAGTTAAGACAAATTTTACTGGGTGTGAATCTGATGGGGAAGGGTATTCACTAGCAAGCATCTGTTCTGGCCTCCTCTGCAGTGTTGCAGAAGGACGTATCTTTAGAGGCCAACTTGAAGCACTTGACCTAGGCCTTTTCTTTGACCTCCCATCTAAAAACCATCTCTCTGTCCCAGGCCCCCAAATAATGGTGTGAACTTCTGTAATACAAGCCTGTTCTGGTGCATTGCTCTTGAATCAAGCTTTTTAACCCTGAATTTGTATAGTGCACACAACCTCTCACTTCCATCATGAGGTGAAAAAGGTCGAAGTGCTGCACCTTTCTGCAACCACTGACACCTGGATGATAGGGACAGGAGTCACCTGGCCCAGCATTATGTGCTTACATGTGTCTGATACACCTCAGTGTGTCCAAGGCTTTCCATATGGCCAGTAAATATTCACCCAGAGGGTCATCTATCCCATCAGTAAAGTTTATGGTATGAAATAAATGGCCAGAAGCTGATCTACTTCAGGAGATGATTCTCCACTGCCTGTATTGTCTGTGTTGATGAGATCTGCACTGAGTATAATGGGAAACAAGACACTCCCCTCAGAAAGAGATGCCTGTAGTGTACACAGCTAAACTAGATGGGTTAAAATGTGTCACAAATACTAGTCTGCATAAGCTTTTCTAAACGTATAAACATCTGTCTTACAAATTTTTGTTTCATTGATCTTAGGTCTTCCAGGACAAATGGGAACAAAGGGAGTCCAGGGCCCACCAGGTAACCCCTTGTCTGACATCATTACTTATTCTGATGATGCAAAGCACTTTAAATGCCACATTCCACATTTCTGTGTTGATGTCAAATACTCGTCATGTTCTTTCCTTTGGAAGGGACAAAGACAATGACTTTCTTGCTTTCCACCCAGGCATTCCAGGCCCACCTGGTCAAAAAGGCAGCAAGGGTGATTCTGGCAGTCAGGGTCCAAAAGGTGATCCGGGACCAAAAGGAGCCAAGGGAGAGCGCGGATATGCTGGTAAGGTGGCTTGACACAGGGTCTGTGGAGCTGATGGTGCTTTGTGTTTAGGACTGTACATCACGGGCTGGCACAAGCTGCTGGGGGCATGTTTACAGAGCTCATTTGGAGGAACTCAACAGGTAGATCAGTCTTCTCAGGAGATGAATGTGCAGAGTGTCACATTTACACCCTGGGAGGTGTGCTAAAAGACATGCAGGCAAGCAGATGCATTAGGTGTTCTCAAAAACCCCTTCTCACAGAAAACTGGAGCAACCCATGTTCCTCTTGGCTTTGTACAGAGACATCTTATAGCATGCCATGTTGCTGGGATAAATCCCACATAAACGTGGCAGTCAGGAATAGAGTATCAGAAACACCAGGGCTATTTAACTATCCCTGGATAACTGTAGGACACAAAAATATTTCAAAAGGACCAACACTACAGCTGTTCCCCATCCTTACCCCACTCCCTTCCAACCACAGAATGCTTCCAAAACCCTAAGAACTGTAGCAAAAACCCATGAAAAACAGTGATTACAACAGGCCACAGGAAGTGAACAGTGTTCCAGATGCTTTTTCTTTTAATTGTTCATACTGAAGAGTACAAGAGTTCTCAGTAATAAACTGGAGCCTACCTGGGATTCCTCCATGCACTTGTCTTCTGACATTTGCTTCTGGAGGAGGGGAGAAGCATAACTGGGGTGACTCCGGGTTAGGAACTGTCCTCTCAGTGGGTCTTAGCTCCTGGTCTGCAGAAGGAGAAGGCAATGTGTGCTTTCTGGAGGTAGCTTTTGGGGAAAGAGCTTATGGTGTGTTTGCAAGCACCTCTATTCTCAAGACCAGGATGCTACATAGAATCATGTAGGACTGTTGGGAGTAGCCTTCTGCTGTCCCATGGCAGGACCTAGAGGGCAGACCTCATGATGTAGGTCTTCCTGAAAATATTTTGGGAGATAGCATGCCTGCTTCTGGGGAGCCCAAAGGCTATCAGAGATTATCAAGTGGGAATAAGATAACATTTCCCACAAGGGAGTGGATGTGATTTTGCAAGTGGCCTTTTTCTTGGGTCACATGTTAAGAAGAATTTGCTGTATGTTTTTCTACTTTTCTTGCCATGTTTCTTAGTCACTCCAGAGGGTTCATTCTACCAGGGAGCCCTTGTATCTCTGACTCACCCGATTATGCAAAAAAAGTTAATAACTGGATTTTCCCCTGAACAGCTGCCAGATATTTGCTTGTTTTTTAATTTGGAACAGGTTCCCCAGGAACAAAAGGGGGCAAAGGTGAAAAAGGAACAGGTACTGACTTCTATTTCTTCTCTCACTTGCTTTCTGGCATCAAAGCTGTCTGAGATCAGGACTTGTGCACACAGGTTAACCTGCAGCACAACTACCCCAGCTGAGAGGTCCATGCACTGAGCTGCAACCTGGTGTCTCCAGACCCAGGAGACGACCTTGAATTGTTTGGCTTTGAGCTACCAGTAACTTCTAGTTCCACCCTGGCTACAGCCATGGAGATTGGGACATTTGACCAGTCTGGGCAGTCACTGCTTCAGTCTTTCAGGCTTTTTCCCCCATGGCCCTATGACCAATAGAGTTATTTTGTTCTCCTCTGAACCCTTAGGAGGCTTCAGCAACGTGATACGAATCGTGGGAGGGGGCACGAGGGGCCGTGTGGAAATTTTTAACCAAGGGACCTGGGGAACAATATGTGATGATGGCTGGGGCCTCGAGGATGCCACCGTGGCCTGCCGAATGCTGGGGTACACCCGTGCCATCTCCGCCTTCACAGCAGCATCAGGTGAGTCCACAACAGCCTCTCACCTCCCCAGGCCTGGTGTGGGAGGTCCTGTACACCCAAAAAGCACCCCAACAAGGTCCTCTATGCAAGCAGCAGGGAAGAGGGTATCCTCCAAAGGGCAGCTCGTTCCCCTTGGGATGGGGGAGCTGCCTGTCAGTTTGAACTGTGCCCAAAGGCTTGATTTCCATCAAGCCAAATGTGCAACCTAAAGCAGGCCTGCTGTCCACTGAGGCAGAGAAGAAAAAAAGAAAAAAAGAAAAAAAAGCATATTCCTCTTTCTTTTGTCCAACAATTTGTTTGTTTGTTTCTTTCTTTAATTCATCTTCCAAAGGCAGTGGACGAATTTGGCTTGATGATGTGAATTGCAAAGGGAATGAACAGTCGATTTATGAGTGTGAAAAGCCTGCCTGGGGTGTGAACAACTGCTCCCACAACGAGGATGCTGGGCTGGAGTGCATCTAATGGGACACAGGGGCTGCCCTGGGAGCTGCTGCCCACCTCTGCTCCCTATGGGGCCCTTCTTCATAATGTGAACCCTATTTCATCAGTCTGTGCTTATTGTTTCTTTATCAAGGCATAAAAATACTGACAAAGAAAGCTGAATTTTCCATGAATCAGTAACAATTGCAAGACTCAAAGGTGACCTGAAACATTCCAGCTGTCATGAAACAACTGGAGCTCAGGCACGTGAGCCAGTCCACAGATTTTTCCAGTTACCTGCCATCAGCTCATCTGCAGTTGCTCACATGTGTGTGACCTCTAAGTCCACAGAGGAGGAGAGATGGTCCCCTCTAGCTTGGTGCAGTAAGAGAGAATAGGGTCAGTGTGCAGAAACGAGCAGCTGAGCTGGCTGGTCTGTGTTCATCACAGTACAGCTGTGAATCTGAGCCTAAACCCTCCAGTGAAGTGCATGCATCCAAGACAGCAGATGCTCAGAAATCATCAGATGATCTCTCTGGCATGCACATATAAATGTTCCTCAGAAATTATGCTGATCACAGGTTAAAGCGCAAACGTAAGTCCTGGGCTCTGGGTGCCAAACTATCCTGGTTTAGCACAGACCTTGGTTTTGACCTTGGCCAAGTTCCCTTCCTTCTGTCAGTGCTTCCTACCTTGTTCCCAGGGGCAACACCCTTTGCCTTATCTGGTGTGTAAAGCTAAGTGCTTCACACCTTTAGAAATTAGATGCTCCGGTAAAGCAAAGTGATGCTGAATAAAAGCAATAATGGGCAAGTATCAGCTAATTAAACTTCCAGAGTAGAAATACAGGCCCCAAACTACAAGCTACCAACTTAACTGAAAGTCTTACGTATCTGAAATACTAATGTAAAGGTTTATCTTTCTTAAGGCCCAGATCTTCTCCTTCTTCACTAGGGTGGGAGGTTACAAAAATTTTCTGTACATGCAGCTTGGCACATGCCAACAACCTGCTTGTGAGCACTTGATTTAAAATGCCAGAAATGTGTGTAAGCAACCCCACAGCTCTGCTTCATGTTAGTCATCATTGCGTTTGTCTGCACGCTTTGAAACTTGTTTTAGTGCTTAAAAGTTCAGATATAAGTGGAAAAAGTTAGCCATGCTGGTAAGATCAGCAGGCGATGGGGCACCCAGGGCTGAGGTGAGTGAGGAGACCCAGGACTGTGCAGGGTGTGACAGTGCAGTTTGCAACAAAGCTCATCACCATTTTGAACGGGAGGAAATGTTTGTTATGGGGTCTCAGGCCTTAGAAAAAAAAAAAGCCTGGAAAATCCCCAGTTTTCCACTACCCACTCGGATGCCTTTTATGGCAGGAAAATCAAGAGAGACACTTCCCATTCCTGGCTCTGGTTTAGAGGAGGCAAGGAGCACCTGCCACCACCCACGGGTGACACCTGATGAACGACAACTATGAGGTAGTTGGTGGTAGTGGACAGTGGCTTATCTGCAGGAGCAGTGACAGCAGCTTTCTGTTGTGACTCTCAGTGTGCTGAGCACAGGCACGTGGGCTGGCACAGCTTCTGCAGGGCTCCCATGGGTAGTGCTGAACCTGCCTGGGTGGCTTCTTCCTTTTGTGTCTGGCAGTTTGTCAAGTTTGTAAATGAAATAAAGGATTTACAAGCTATATTCTTGTCCCAAATAGTGGCACGTGGTGCGTGTACTCCCATTTTCCTACTTTCCTTGCTAACAGGGTGTGTTCCTCACCATTTTTCATGCTGAGACATTTGGTTTTTTTCATCAAGCAAAACTGCCACCAAGGGGAAAGTCCCCATGTCTGTGACGACCCTTTGGCTGGACTCAAATCCCCATACATCTCCCTTTTGGACAATCAGCATCCAGAAAACAGCAGCTGAACAAGTGCTCCCCAGCTGTGAATAAACAGCAGAGGATGCTAGGTGTTGGCAGCATGTTTTATGTCTGATCCTCTTCCATCTGAACCACGGTGCAACCAGAAAGAAGTCCCTAATGTGGTCACTAAAGCAGGAAGAAATTCCATAAGAGGCAGGTAAACTGGGGGAGCCATGGAGGCTGTGAGGCTTGGGCTGCAGACTCACCTCCTGCCAGAAATACACACCTGAAGTCCAGCTTTAGCAGATTCAGAAGTTCACACGAAACTCCCCTTATAACTCAAACCACAGGTACCTGAGGTAGCTCCTCACCTGGTACAAATTGCCACTCTCAGTGCCACGCTGTGCTTTGGGAGAGCTAAGAAGAGCCTTTACTTCTTTCCAAAGGTCAAAAAAAGCCCACAGGTATTTTTTTTTTCAGAACCACTGGATAAAGCCAGCATGGAGAGAGCCGAGCCTACATCATATCATTTTTTCTGCCAAACAAGCGTTTCCCAGCAAGGCCAGGGCTGCTGGTACAGCTGCCGGGGATGTCCCTGAGCCGAGGGACCAGCGGGGCGACCCCGGGTGCCCCCCCGGGCCCCGGCAGCGCGGAGCTGCCCGGACACATCTCCACGGACCACGTCTGGTGGTTCCAGATGCTCCTTCCCGACACTAAGGGGAGCTCAAGGGCCGCCACCCGCTCCGCTACCTCCTGCCGGGACCCCGCGGCCCCGACCGGCGGGCTGGGATGGGCTGGGGAGGCTTTGGGGTGGGATCAGACGGGACGGGCTCGGCGCTGCCCCTGCCCTGCCCTGCGGCCGTTCCGGCAGCGCATCCCGGTGTCCTGCTGTCTGGTGCTTCTCCCGTGGAGTCCCCCCGTGGTGGGGGACAAACCCGGGGTTTCTCCTGTGGGATGGGTCGGAGGGACACGCAGCCAGAGCCGGAACCCGAGAGCGGGGCACTTGCTCCAAGGGGGGGATCCGGGCTGTGCTGGGTTCCCACCTCAGGTGACTCCAGCTCTGGTCAGCCCGTCCTCCCGACAGGGGGATTGGGGAAAAAAAGGGTGAAAAATCCCTTGGCGATTCAGCCTCTTGCTCCTGCTGGTTTGTTGCAGCCTGCCAAGGAGTCAGGAGAGTTTGACAGGTTTTGCTCTGCACCCTTAGTAGCTACAAACACCCTTTTTGAAGCAAAACCTCAGAATTCAGGAGGATGGCAGAGGTGCCCCCTTGGAGGGACAAAGGAGGGACAGTGCAGAGCTCAGCCCCAGCCTCAGCACTGGGAGGGCAGGGGAGAAGTCACAGCAGTGGCACTTGGAGCCTGGCACCAGGCCCCCAGGTCTGGAGGGCACTTGTGCCTCTTGTGTCCACTTCTCTGGTCCAAGGGAAGGTCCATGGTGGCAGGAAGAGTGCCAGAAGTCACCAGGGGATAGCTGGGGAGCAATCAAAATGCCTCTTGCATCTACAACAATTGGATAGCCCCAAGGTATGAAAAAGGGGAGCCCAGAGCACAGCTTGCACACCCTCACCACCTCCCTCACCAAACACCCAGCTTGGTGCTATTCAGTCCCAACTTTTAGGCCTCCCAGCCAAGCTCCCACACTGCCCTACAACAGCTCTCTGCAACAGCTAACAGGGAATTGTACAGCTTGTGTTATCATTCACTCCCAGCACCAATTAAAAAGATTTAGTTAAGCCAAATGCAATTACACTGTCATGGATAAAAGGGACATAATTAATTAAAAAGGAATACTTTCCCTTAGGAATGCTGTTATTTTCAGATGCTCCCATTCCTGTCCCTGGGTACTCCTCGTGACCTGGAGGGATTTAGAGTGGGGAGAAATTGGGGGGTTGAGTGATTTATCTCTCCATCTCACTGACCCACATGTATTCCTGAGGTAAGTTAGCACGACCCTTGAGGACAGGGATCTTCTCCAGAGCCCTGAAATGTAATTTCCAAAGTATCTGACACTGTTCTCCCCGCTTTTCTAAGGAGATTAACGTTTCATAGAGGCTGTTTGGCACCAAGCTGAGATTTCTTTTGGGGTGAAACCTGGGCTTTCTGTCAACTGTGAAGGAATGTGGAGAAGCCAGAGACTGTAGGATATGTGCTGTGGCTGGAAGGATTTACCAAAACCCCCTGGAAGTAGCTGAAGTTTCCCACATCGTGTGCCCTGGGAAGGGAGGAGATGCATGCCACCTCTTCCAGCCTCCTGCAGAAGCAGCACCCAGGCTGCTGGAGTCCCAACATCATCATGCAGAGCTAGTGCAGATTTCCCACCCCTGGAGCTTTAGAACACAGAGGATCCTGCTGAGAACGTGTGTTAATAAATAAAGAGTGTTTATCTAATCATTGCCGTGTCTGGGTGGCATTGCTGTCAAGCCACAGAGCAACGACACAGAGGAGAAGGCTCCAGGTTGCCAGTGGAGGTTGCTGAGGGGCTGAATGCAATTTTCACACACAATTGGAAGAACCACCCAGGCACCCAGGGATGCTGAAGAGCAAAATGTTTACTAACTAAAAGCCAGGTTTTCAAAGCCTGAAGTTGATGCTAAATGCAGACACAGCACATCTCACCTTAGCAAAATCATTGATGATGCCAGTTGCAAATCTAAAAAAGGCAATTTCATTTGGCTCAGAGCTAAGAAGTTGTTCCATCTGATGATTGTTGTTCTTTAAAGCCATCACATTAAATGTCAACTGTAATAAAGGAGTGACTTCTCTGCTCATGTAACAGACAGGTAAAAATGTTAATCCGCGTGCTGGCTATATCTAAAGATTAAACTCATCATGTAATATATGGGTGTCTAATTGTATTTTTACTCCTCTCCTCTGAAGTCTTCTGTTATTCAAAGAATGAGATCAAATCAACACAAAAGTGCCAAAACATTTCTCAGCTCTTTCTGCTAAATGTCACAGTGGAAGGCAGCATCTGGCCTCAAAACCCTCAGATATTATTTTTCTGTTTCACTTGGTATCAGATCTGGTCATGCTTTGCTTGGTTAATTCTCTTCCCACTAGCATGGTCCAGTAAAGGCCCAACCAACCATCCAGTGTAGCTCCCAAGCCTGAGCTACAAGTGTTTCTGATGGGAGCAAAGGGGCCAGTTTGGCTCTCGCTGGCACCAGTTCGAAGCTGGAGCAAGCATCCATGTGGGCA